CTTACTTACTTACTTACTTACTTACTTACTTACTTACTTACTTACTTACTTACTTACTTACTCACTTACTCTTACCGTTGCGTTTTGCCAGTGGGCTTTAACTTTAACTATAACTTTAACTAAGCCTACGGATTAAAACCTCAAGTCAGTGGCATCAAAATTGTCACTGTTTTACAGACGATCCATTTTCAAGTTGAGTGGCTCATAGCCACTTTGATTGTCGAATGCAGTCAGAGTGAAAAACCAGTTCAAAGAATCGGAAATAACGAAAGGAGAGAACAGAATGACTTAGCAGATTGACACGAAAGCCCCTCAAAAAAGCTAGAGGGACGGAAAACATTGTCAAAGTGGCTGTGGAACCACGAGCCGCAGGCGAGTGGTTCCGCAGTAAACTTTGACAATGTTATGACGCAATTTATCATCAATAAGAGGACAGACGCATAAAAAATTGACGTCAAGGATGCTAGTAGCTCCCAGGGCCTTCGGGTCTACAAAGGGTGCGGGTGGTTATGGGTAACTTTGGTGTCTCTTCGGTGCGCGGGTATTTTAACTACGTACAGCTTTTGTGCCCCTGGGAAAACGGAGAAACTCGGACAAAAAACGCTGAAATGATGTTTGACGAAGAACAGGTGTTCAAAGGATTGTTGGCTTGGTTTTCGGCAAGTGTACCTACAAGGCTGCGGTCTCAATGGGGTAAGCCGCGACCGAACCTTACCGTCTAACTTAACTTTTAAGCTGTAAGTTGTTCAATGCAAGACCAGTTTTGATTGTAGATTTACTTTTGAACAATTTTTAATTGAAGGATTCCTTAGTGATCAACGAATGTTGTAAATATTTAGTAAAGTCGCGTATTTATAGCTTTTGGCGCCGCTGTTGGGTTTTTCAGTTGCAAGCGTCATTCCACCTTGTGAAAAATTTATGATACTGGACGAATTTAGCTACTGAATGCTTATATTTGATATTGTTTGCAAGAGGTTGTTATGCATTTTATAGCGCTTGTTCATTCACTGTTCAATATCAGTTCATACTCTGTAGACAACAACTGTTATTTTCAGCAGATTTCCTGTGTGCCGACGTGCACCACAGGTCACGCAAGCGTAATATAAGAGTTTGTCGGAGAACTGTGGCCCAAATATGGAGATCAGGAGTTGACATTAAATTTGTTCAATGTATGGGTAATTAATTTAAAGACTCTTTATAACAGAGCCTTAGTGAAGTGTACATTCTGATTGGCTAATATGCTTGATCCATTTGCCTGGGGGGGTTGCATGCTGATATCAGTTTGTTTATTTGTACTTTTTCTCAGCAATTTTCTTTATCGATGGTGACACTTTTTAAAACATAATTCTTATTTTTTCTTCTCCTAAAACAGGAAAAAAATTAATAATTCTTCCAGAGATGAGGAAGATTATTTCTTTGAGCTGAGTTATTATTATTATTATTTCAAAATTTTGAGCTCAAGTTTTTTGCCGGGCCTCCACCTAAGAGATTTGCTAACTTATGCGAGCAGGGGTTCAATCAGCTGGTTGAACAAAGGCATTTGGCACTCAGAGACGGACCAAAAAACAACAAACTGGTCTGTATCAACCTTTCAAGGTTACTAATGTGTAGCAGGAATTTTAGAGAGAATTTTTCAGCGATTTAGCGACAATAAAATTCAGTACAAGCTTTCATTGTAAAACTTTTCTGGTGTTAAAAGCCATTTGAATGCTTTCGGTGAGCAAAACTTGTACACGAGAATTTTAACAAACTTCTGTTTTAACTGTAGTCTTGCATACAGAATCCTTCTGTTCCAAAAACTTTAAAGATAATAGTTTCTCTGAGCTTTAATAAAGGAAGTTTTGTCAAATATTGGTAGCCTCTGATGAATTATTTAACTTAAGTTCCTGGGTTTCAGTTTTGCTCGATCGCTCGACTTGATCGATCGTAAATTGAACTCTTGAAATTGAAGAAACAGCAGCTCGAAGGAACAACTGCATTGTACACAAATATAAGCTCACATCTCTGACATTTTCCTTAAAGCATCAGTCTTCTGTTCATTTAAGCTTATTTTACCGAAGAATGAAAGTGACAGAGATCATTTTTAAAAGCCATTCATGTGTTCAAGTTCAGCCTTAGACGTGCAACTCATCAATCGACAAAGTGGAAAGGAAAACGAAACCCACAAACCTGCTATTGAATAAGAGCATCTCAAACAGCTCAAAGCCAGGGGTGTTTGTTTGCTTTCTTGTCCACTCTTGCTTTTAAGAAATGTCTGGTTCCATATTGTTCTTTTCCTTTGCTGAAAAGGCCGTAAAGGACAGAGAGCTCAGCCACCAAAAGCTTCAACCATGTGCAGTTTGTTTTCAATTTTTTGGAAGACTGATCTGAAATTAAGCTAACTAACTTTTGAGAAACGCTTTTACCAACTGCAAGTTTCGTTTGTTGTCAGCTTGATATTTAGGTTAACCAAGCAGTTTGAAGTTGTTTGTTTGCCCAAGATTGAGAAAATGTAAACTATAAACTCGCCGTGATCCAAGAAAAATTTTGATTTGTCCCTTTGTCAGATTTTTGAATGAACATTTGTGTATGGTTTATGGCACTTTTGACTTCATGTAAGCCAGATGAGATTCAATATATACTATCTCAATAGTCTCAATGTTATAAAAGAAATGGTAAACATGCAGTGTGCAACTATCGAGTCATGGATGCACTTGGGAGGTTTGCTAAGCACTCAAGAAGCTAGAGTCGCACTCGGCTATCATCTTCTGCGACTCTTATGCTTCTCTCATGCTTAGCAACCTCCTGCATGCATCCATAACTCGATAGTTGCATGCTGCATGCTTACCATTTCTTAATTAACATTCAATGATGTCATTTTTTTTTATCTTGGAGAGTTTAAACAAGATTTGAGTGAATTTTGATAAATTTATCCTACGGTGTTATAATAAGAGACAAGGTAGGAAACTTTGGCTAGTTTGATGTCAAAACACTCTTTGGAAACTAGTCAAATTTGCACACAAAAATAGCATTTACTCATACTATTTCTCGCTGAACTTACAATGTAAGGCCTGTAGTTTCTCTCTCTGCAGTCCAATAAAGTACATGTTCAGGTTTCACCATGTTAGCTGGGCAAAAAGTTGAAATATGAAGGCCAAAATAGCGACAACTTGACACCACTAAGTTGATCAGTTTTCTGTCATCACCGCTCAGCTGAGACTGGGAATGTGGTCAATTATCACCTCATGTGTGGAGGGCAAGAAATTTTTGATCCTACAAACTATGCCTCACACGTCTGCTGGTCAGGATAACTTTTGTCGTGGCTGTTTTCTCTTTTTGTGCCAATCATACGACATGATGGCGAAAGCCCTCCAAAATTAAAAAAGTACGTGAAAGGGCCACCCAAAAGTTTTTTAGCCGCAACAAAGATGTTGTCAACTCTGAAGCGGCTTGCTGTGGCCAAGGAGCGTTAGAAATTTCATACCTCTATACAAGTGTAGCAGAACTTTTGCCACAAACCAGTGGGAATTTGGTCATGGCCAGGTGTGTATGATTGAATTAATTAGTTGAAGTGATAATTATTGTTGCACAGATTTGACAAAGACCGTTAAAATCACTCCAATTACCCGTAGAGTTTCCCAAAACTCACCATCGTGTTGTTTGAGTTATTGTAATTAAAATAACATTAAATTTTTCAAAATAGATATATATTGTCTTGAGTATGTCAATTTGAAATATATTGTAGCTGAAAATAGGAAGGGATTTATTTTTAATTTCAATTACAAATGTTTAAATTAACAATTTTACCACAATTGCTACTAATCTTGCAATTGGATTGGCTAATTTGCTGTTGTCGATAAGAGTCCAGACAGCACTGCGCCTCTTGAGTCCACAACATTTTGACCACTGTGATGAGGCATACTTGTTATCGATAAGAGTACAGACAATGCTAAACCACATTCGATTTGTTGACTTCATGAAGGTTCACCAAAAAAGGGCCTTAAAAAAAAAAAAAAATAGGTCAAATAAAAAAAAATTAGAAATTTAGTGCAGTACAGAAGGCAAAAATGTCAGTTTTCTTGTGAATATATTTTGGTTATGATTCCCCAGACGATTTTGTGCTTGTCAACATCATAACCATGATTTTTGGACAAGTATTGTTAAGGTTATTATTCAAGAGATGATGCCCACAAGCTTTCAGGCACCACCACTATGATATAATAGGTTGCACAATTGGGGTGATGATTCCACAGATGGTTTGATGAAGTCTTGCAACATCAAGGCTTTGATTCCATATACTTACATAATTTGCTGATCATTTCATGAAGCCTGGGTAAACCAGGGGTATGATTCCCCAAGCACATAAGTTGAACACTAGAGTCATAATAGGTGATTCATTAGAATGAATTCCTGTACCATTATGGTAGCCTGTAAATGCAGACGTATTTTCGGCTGTCAACTAAACCAGAATTTTTGGTCGACAAAGATGAAATTTTAGCCCTATTGGTGACCGTACCGTTCACAATTGCGAGCCTTTTAACAATGTATCTATAAACTAAATTTTATGGATGGACAATAACATGGTGTTGGTGAAATGTCGGGACATCATGTCCAATCATAATGTGACATTGGCCGAACATATTTAAAATTTGGTCAGACAATGTCCGTTGACCGACTGTTATTTCCAGCCCTGCTTATGTTTATGCTTATGCTCTCTATGCGCGCAGGACAGGGCTTAAGGTGGCTGAACACAGTTTTTGATTCCTGTGTTTCATTCACCTTTTTCTCTAAAACCCTTGATCCTTTGGTCGCCAAAAATGGCAGCAAGCAAGTTAACAACACAACCTTCCATTTTTTGGGTTAAAGTGATGTATGTGCTGTTGCCATGGCAACATGATTAAATATAAACAGGCCTTTAAAATCGGTTTTGTTTATTTGCAGAAAATCTAGTCATTAGGTTTTCTTTGTAATTTGCGTGCAACAACCTTGTAACAATGCTCACAAGCTAACACTATTTTAATAACAATTAAACCGAGAAATCTTTAATTATCCCTTGTTGAAGGTTCACTGGAATATCTAGAATTTCCTTTGTTAAAGTTGAAATTTTATTCAATACTCCAGTTACTTATTACTTATATATGACATTCTAATGAGTTGTTCTCAAGAAATAGTCGTATTTCCGAGAAAACTATTGCGCATTTAATCACACTAATTTGACTTAATACGCATGTGCTGCATTTAACTGGGTTCTTTTGGTAACAAAGAAAAAGCTGAGAATTGCTGGGTTATTTGCATTGTTAACTTTTCTAACATACCTTTGTAGTAAAAGACTAAAACCATCAATACACTGTGTTCAATTATGAAGAAATATAGTACAGATAGCACAGACATTGAGCAAATAAAATGATCGCTGTATTGACACCAAGTTTTTTTTTGCAATCCTTGTGCGCATGCTGAATTGCATTAGCAAGAGCGTGCACAAAAACTGTATTCGGCCACCTTAAGGGAGCTTAAAACCACATGGCGGAATTAGAAATGCATTTTGCTCATTAAAATAAGAAGAATCTTAAGAAGTTCATCGTCAGTGTTGAGAGGACAAAGACATAATCCCCGACTCAAATCTGCTGCCTGTTCATTCTTTTGAGTTAAGGTTTTTAGGGATAATTTAGTTTATTCTTTATCTTTATTCCATCAAGCAAGATTTGTATTTTCATTGTTTTTCCCTTTTCTTTAAAAAGGGAAAATTGCCAGTAAGCATTCTAATGTTTTATTTTAAAAATTAAAAAAAAGCTCCATTCAGTGTGGCTTGCATCATCTTTAACTGAGGTTTGTTGAGTTTCTTTTGGAATTTGTTTTGATCCCATCAGCATGTTTTGTTCACTGACACAGACAGGTTTCCCTTCACTGCTGCTATGTGATTCTAGCTGCAAAGTACTCTCAGTTTTAATTCTGTTTCTCTCTACTTGCTGAACTCAGTTGGCCATGGTTAAAATTTTGAATGTCACACCATTCAAGTGTAATGCCAATGAGCAAAAAAATGCAATTGTAGAACAATTTGAAGGCAACAAGCACATTTAACCCATGTTTTTTTGACAAAGTGGTTGAGATCAGCATCAACAAGCATGGTAGTAAGCACCATAATGATACCAATTTGTAGGCAATGTTTTAGTGCTGTATCTATTTTTCAAATTCTATTTCTATGCCTCAGACACTGCTGCCTGCATGGTAGTAAAAAATAGCCAGTGACTTTGGTCATTTACAAAATGCGACCTTAGACTGAAAAATGTGCACTAAGCTTAATATCCATTAAATGGCCTAAAATAGAGGGATAGTAATGGGATAATAAATGAATAGTAAACGCCTTTAAAAAGCATTGAAAAATTTGACTGGAAGCGTTAAAACCGCTGGCAAAAATTTTGGAATGGATAACTTGAAGCGTTCAAACAGTTAGCTCATGTGTTTAACAGGTGACTTCAAGCATTTGAACGGTTAGCCAAACTTTTTGAACGGTCAACTTCTCGATCAAAGGGTCACTGACTTAGCACGTGGTCACCAAAATAGCCAAAAATTTATGGAACTATAAGCTCTTGAAAGCAATAGGAACGATTCTAATTAATCATCAGTAAACTGGATAGATGATATAATTCAAAGCAAGGAATAACTACTTATGGTTGGAAATTGTCTGTATGTCGAATTGTCAAGAAAACAAAAACACAATTCTGTCCATGTTTGGTTAATAGAAGTCATCATCGTATGCAATGCCAATCCAGAAACATTTGTGACCAAACTCTGTTGAATCGTGACCTCCAGTCACAAATAATTTTTGGAGAAACATGATTTACTATCAATAAAATGCTACAAACGGTAGACGATAAAGCTTGTTCAAGAGTGCAAACACACTCATACCACAACACCATTGTTGCATGCAATTTACATGTGATGTGAGTAAAAAACTTCCTGGATAGGGAAATAAATCGGACGACGACTGACATACATTTATAATAAATAATAATAATAAAATATTTATATAGCACCAATATCCTAAAAGTTCAAAAGCGCTTTACAGTTTGAAATATTAAAAACACTAAAGACAAATAAAGTAAAAATAAAAAAATGTCGCTAAAAAGTTATAAAAATGCTTTCTTAAAAAGGAACGTTTTTAGTTTATGTTTAAAAAGGGATTTCAAGCTAGCAACATACTGTCCATGACCTCAGTATGATTCAACACAAAATAGAATGCAGGAGACTGATTACCGGAAAGGTACATGTATGTTTGTTATAATATAATTCTAACTTGAAACGAAGCGGCACATTGCATACCGTAGTTTTACATGAATTCACATGACCCAAACACAGCTGTTCTTGTTTTCATTTGATCACCACTTTTTCATTTTGATGTCTTTGTTTTCAGTAAAAGAAGGAAACAAAAATATGTACTAAGGCAAGCTAACTTTGAAAACTCAACCTGCAACGAAACATAAGACATAAGACAGTTGTAAATTGAGCGTTCGCGAACGTGGTGCCAACTTGATTTATTTACATGCATACCATGGCTTTCTGCTCGGTTTGACAAGTTTTTTAAATACCGTTCTGTCTGTCTTCCGAACTCTGTAGCTTCTGGTTAACATTGTCTTTGGCTGTTTCAACAGTAAGCTTAAAATGTTCATTAAGGCATTTGTAATGCAGAGTGCACTATTGGGATGGTTTAGGGGGCTGCTGTTTGGTCAGGCACTAACGCTGTAACACAATAAGGTGTAAACTTTAATGTTTGTTTAATTAATTAATTTCAATTAATTAATTAGCATTGTGGTAAGGGGGTGGGCTAGGTACCTCTGTTTACTACATAAAACATATTATGCTTACATTGCTTTTAAGATAGCATCACAAACCTATATATGTTTTTGCAAATCTCTTGCTATCCTAGTGGTGCTTAAGTACAAAAATCAATTTGCTCGAAATGCATGCACAGATAACTTAGCCTTCAGTGTCCAGTTCTGGCCCTCTCTCTGTCACGCAATACTACCGTTGCGTTGCTTGACAGAGAGAGGGCCAGAACTGGACTATTTTGACTGGGGATAGCAGCTGTATTTCAGGTAATGTCAGTTCTCACTTTTTTGGTGCAAATAATGCTGACTGCATATCATCTGGAATCACCCCTAGCTCAATTAAAAAAATTTCGTCTGCTATTTTAGAACTATTGCGTGTTTGCCAGGGCTCAAATAAAGAATGCTTCTCCTTAGCGGCTTGTCTATTTCCTCTCCTATGAAGGGAGCAAAAAGTTCATATTCCCACGTTAGTTACATATAAAACTAATAAATTTGTGACACAAAAAACTTCACAAATATTGCCACAGACTCCGTGGCACTTAATTAAACTGCCAATTAATTTCATCAGTCTTTGAGGTGACTCTCTCACCGATGTAGGATATAATTTCGACCATGTAATGATCTCTACCTTGAGAACTTCTCGCTGAAACGCTCCTCAGTTGTATTAATCGATAGCATTGTATTTTAGTTTGATGTGAATAAGAACGAACTATTCCGTGACTGGACATGACTCTTTGACAATAAGATTAGTTCTTGTTTTTCTGTGAACTGAAAACTTGCATTTGGAGTAAAACAAAATCATTCCTCTTCGATTTTTCATGAGATGTTTAGCTTTATTCCATTTGTCTCCAGCAGTAAGTAAAAAAATACAGATCTTTCTTATATTTTTGAGGAAACAAGGGTATCATGTTGCATGGCTCGGCAAGGAAAACAAAAGTATCAAGTTATGTACATTGGAGTGAAAAATAAAATTTTCATATTTGCCACTTCTGCATATTATTGAATTTAAAATGACTGAAACTCAGTGTAAAACATCACAATAAAATTCAAAGCTGTCTTGACAAACGGTAATTGTAAGTTATTTTTGGGCCTTGAAAGAAAATACAAACATGAAACTTACACAATGCTAAGATTATGTCTTATCAAGTTTTTGTCTGCTCATAATCTGCAAGGGGAAAAGGCCTAGTTGACTACCAAGGGAGAGAATGGCAGGGGTGAGGACCTATGTGACTACTGTATCAAAGCCGTAAATTACACTCTGCACTATCTGAGATTGTCTCACTAGTTATAATGGTTCCAAGACTTTCTTTTAGAATACGGGATATGCTTCCAGATATGCTTCTCGCTAAAATGGATTACAAGATTTCTTTACAAATTGTTTTGCTGTTAAAATGGATGCTTGGATTTTTTAACGGATTGCTTTTGCCATTTAAACAGATGCTTGGACTTTTTAACAGATTGCTTTTGCTGTTTTACAGTCAAGCTTACAAAACCGTGAACACCGAAAAAATATGTCTGGAATGTTTGTTTTGTCATAACCAATCATGAGTGAGATATTCAACCACAGAAACAGACGAGTTTCCATCAGTCACTGAACAAATTTGCTTCGTTTCAAAAGGTCTCAAAATAAATCAGCTATTTTGGTTATACAAGAAATTAGATAATTGCTGTTAAAGGCTATTTAAACATTAGTGAAGAGGGTTTGGGCTATTTTCAACGTGAAAAAACTATTTTCACAAACCAATGTGTGGGGCCAAAACGACTGGTAGCCGTTGAATCACCCAAGTGCGAATGATCCAAATTATTGCTTTCATTATTAGTTAGTTTGATTCATTATTTTGATAACGGCAAAAAGTGACGGGTGATATGAGATACACCTGTAAGGCATTGTCACTTAGGGGTGGCCTAGGAATATCTTGCATGCCTCACTCGTTTGCATACTTTGCTTTCCAATGTGTCATTATTTCCCTGCAGCTATCTAGTTCTTTATCACTGCCATTGTTGCATCTTTGTCCAGTTATTTAGTTAGTTCATAGCCGTTAGTTAAGTTGGCTTTTAACATTTAGTGGTTATTGGCTTCATAGTTTACTTTAATTTAAGACATTTCCACACTGTTGCAATGTTCCTGAAATATTCATTGGTAAGTTAACCAGGGGCCCGTTCCTCGAATACCCCGGAAACTTTTTGAGCCTGTAAAGCATTTTTAGTTCATCTGTATCTGAAAAAAGAGAGGTGTATACACCTGAAACTTCTTGTATGAAGAAAACCTCTGTTCATTTTAAGAATATGTGAATAAAAGAGTTCAGTAATCATAAGGTTTGAGATTTTGCTACGTCTTTCTGGGTACGAAAACTTTTTGGGACCTTCAAGAAAGGGGCCCTAGGTCTCTTGATGGTGATCCACTATGGGAGTAAAGTACTGTTCAACATTTTAGTACAGTAACTTTATTTCCAATTGTAGTAATGAATGGAGGAATCCAAAGCAATCACTTTGATGATGCAGACTACATTTTCAGCAGCAATGCCTCTTCAAAAGACACCTTAAGGTATTTGTAGGAATGCATTGGACACATTATGTATTTGTTGTTATTTAATATTATTATTGTTAGTCCTTTCTTTAGGATAAAAACGAGATATAAAGTTTACAGATGTTTCAATCTCACTGACATCATTTTCAAGTTTTAAAAAGCAATAAAAATATGTAAATATGCACTAAACATTACAAAATGTGAGTGATAAAAACTATAATACAAAAGGCTAGGTAAGACAATAGGACTAAACACTACAAAAGATACAATAAGTGTGAAATATGAAATACTCTGCGCTATGATAATAATTTTGAGTGGATGAAGTCAGACTGCTTGTTCAAAGTTGGCTTTAGTTCTTTTATTAAAAGCATCCCATAAATTAAGCAGTCAAATTTGCTCTGGTACATGTACTTTCGTAAGATCTTAAATCTAAGATCTGCAATCATGGATAAAAGTCTTAGGACAAATTTGCACTTTTGGTGCTTTTGCGCACACGCCAGACGCAAATACTACTTCACCTGCCTAACCTCGCCCCCCACCCCTCATACAATGTTGAAAACTACTAACTGCAATTTCCCCTGATTTTCAACATTGTATTGGGTGAGAAGGGGGAACAGTAACGCGTTTTGAAAAGGAAAGCAGCGCTTTTTTCAAACTTCAGTAGTAAAACACAGATAGTTAACTTACATAAGTGTCCCAAGGACTTTTGTCCACGATCATGGACAAAAGTCTTGGGACAAATTTGCACTTTTGGTGCTTTTGCGCACACGCCAGACGCGAATACTACTTCACCTGCCTAACCTCGCCCCCCATCCCCATACAATGTTGAAAACTACTAACTGCAATTTCTCCTGATTTTCAACATTGTATTGGGTGGGAAGGGGGAACAGTACCATGTTTTTAAAAGGAAAGCAGGCCTTTTTTCAAACTTCAGTGGTAAAACACAGATAATTTGTTAAATTACATAAGTGTCCCAAGGACTTTTGTCCATGATTGTATGTCACTTGGGTTCCTCCCATGCTGCTCATTGACATGTTTCCCGATCGCACACCCCTTATGTTCCTCAATTTACATTGAGACAGGTGTTGGCATGTGTAGCTGACATAATCCACATCACACAGATTACACCTGAAATGGTATACAACGGATTGTTGATTCACTATAGGGGTTTAGAACTTTTCTCTTGGCTTGATGTTGGATCCAATCTTTCGGCTTGTGTACATGGGATGGAATCGTGCTTTTAAGCTTTCATCTAACTGACAACTGTTCCACCTGGAATGTGAATGTCTCATGGAGGCTTTCTCTCAACTTCGGCACCCAGTCCTACTCTTGCAATCAACAATCAGTGAGTTGCTGTTAAAGTTTCAGGAGATTTAAGATCCAAACAGATGTGTGATGAGAAGAAATCACCTGTGAGAACCTTCGAGTGATAATATTATTTGAAAATTCTCTCAAAATTGAACTGGCCTTTAGGCGAGTGCAATTTGAAAGAATTTTCAAATATCATGGGTAGTGTAAATTCTTAATTGGTCAAGCTTTCATACGATTACTCATTTATTATTAATATGCGCGAGAAAGTTATGAAAGTACGCGTGTTAATTTGCACTGCATTGCAAATTGAAAATTAAGGATGAATTGGCCTGCTCTCAGCCAATCACAACGACCTAATTTTCTCAGTCATATAATAAGTTGCAAAATTGTAAAATTAAACGAGAGTTACCTGTAAGTCCTGGTTTGATTGAGATTCTACCGTAGCATTTGCAGGAATGAGGACGTCACATCCCACCCATTACCCTACTGTACCCTTACACATTTTGCTGGTGACCTCCCATTCCTGCACGGTCAAAGCCACACAAAACCACTTTTAAGACTGAGCTTGGATACCGCACATGACCTCCTCATTCCTGCAAATGCTACGGTACAATCTCAATCAAACCATGACTTGCAGGTAAGTCTTATTTAATTTTACAATTCTACCTTGCATTTGCATTCAATCAGAGGTCATGTGAGACTTAAAAGCTAGAAGCCACATAAAACTTGAGCAACTGATATTTAAATGGCATACTGAGTGTAAGGAACCCAAGTAGCTGGCACGTGGTGCGTGTTGAGATCGTTGAGCATCAACTGCACGATGTAGAACAATTAGACAGGCTTTACTTGATCAGCGTTTATTAAGGTTGACTTGCCCAAATATTATACACATGTGGTGAAAGCTACAGAGTAGATTACAATATATAATTAAAAGAGAGCTAAAATTTACAAGATCTACAAAGGCATGGTAAAAGCAAAAACAAAAAGGTGAATATAAACGAGTAGAACTTGCGTCCAGTACTGCGTTAAAGGCTGAAAAGGAAAAGGTAACTCCAATGCTCCAACGGTACTCTGATAGTTACGTGTAAGGACTGACTACTAATAAACTCCAATGACTTCTTTCTCCTATGATAACGTAACTCCGACTGGCTAAAATCAAAAGTGGCGTTCCTTATCATGTGGGAAACAAAGGGCGTTCAATGGTGAAATGTCGCCAAACAGGAAGCATATGGCTAACAGGTGTTCTATCCAAGAAAAGAGAATTGACTGATAATTGAAAGGAAACTTAGGTAATTAAAAACCGACCGCGATAGCCTAAACAAAACTGGCAAAGACTTATCTCCTAATGATCTACATAAAGGACTATTCATGACAGTTTACATAGCATTCATGACACTGAGTATTTAATGGTTATTCTTACCAGGTGCACCGAACATGCATGGCACATAATGTAATTTATAACAAAAACTCAGTCACAACATCTGTGGCAAACATATACTTAGTACATATGAAATAGAGAGGAAGTAATTCTAGGCTAGTGCTACTGAGAACAGCCTCTCCAAAGTTTTGGTGACTTTCACTTCTAATTGGACGATCATAAAACTTAGCAAAAGTTGAGTCAAGGCACCACCCAGCAGCGTTCATGATCTCTTAAATGGGGTCATTAGGGGCTTAAGCTGCAGAGGTGGCTGTGCCTCAAGTACTATGGGGTTTAAAAACTGTGGTATTTAGGATGTTTGCATGAAAATTATCCAGTTGACAGATTAAAATTTTACTGCCGTCAGATAAGAGTTACTTGTGTCAGAAATGCAAAAAAATTGGGGGTCACCGATTTCACTTCAGAGATAAAGCGTGTTGAAAACTACCCTGAGTTTGAAAAATTGGCACACAGGGTTTATAGTTAAAAATATTGAAGGTGAGTCAGCGAAGGCAAACGATCTTAGTCATATTTTGTAGAAGTTGGTCTGTTGCGTAAATAATTTCAAATGTTACCAACATTTTCACAAAACTTAACCCTTCAAAAGGCATTTGAAACCATTGCACAGATAAACAAAGAGCTAAAAAGAACAGAATTCGATGGTGCATTTTTCAGGCTATCACAACTCTAGCTTCTTGAGTGCTTAGCAAACCTCCCAAGTGCATCCATAACTCAATAGTGTACGCTATGGTGTTTACCATTGTTTTATAACATAACATTGAGACATTGGAACAACAGAAGTCCTTTTATTGAGCTACATCACACAAAAATGTTCGTGTAGCCTTACATGACAAGAGAAAACAAGCACGCGAAAATTTATTCATGACAACCGACTGCACACCAGTAACTCGACAAAGTTTCATCTTCATACAACTGTGAAGACAATTTCGCAATTCTGGCAGAAGAACGTCGGCCATTACTTTGGAAACAATGTCTGTCAAAAGATTTGCTTTGTAAACATCAGCACACACGTCAGTAGCGTACACCCATGGGCAAATAGTAGACGCTAAATTATTTTTTATTACTTAGTGCGCTCTCATGCATGACATGGCATGTGAATTTGCGTGCGCAGTAAGGATGTGTAGAAACCATTAGCGCAGAAGTCCTTAATTCCCGCAGCTTTCATGGTTTGTTTAATCCACCATGAGATGGTGTCTTTAGAGGCTGGTCCATGTGGTGCTTTATAACAAATCAGCAGTTGCTTTGTTCCCTTTCTAAGTGGGGCAGTCCTTTTGGTATAAGCTTGTAATAACTCAACAACACAAAGTCTTTTGCCCAAGTTGAAACTCCAAAGTACAACAGGAAGTAAGTGTCTGTTGTGGCCCCTTTAGCACTGGTTTGTTTCAACAGAGATGATTTGTGGAATGCATATATTCCAGGTGATATGAACATTTCCTCCAGAGAGAGTTTCTGTAAAGTCCGAGTTCTCTGCAGGGATGCATATTCACAGTTGTCCAGTCGTCCATCTGATGGAACCACTCTATCTTGTGAACTTCTTGTTGCCTTGCCTGAAGACAAACATAGGCACAGAAGGTGTGCAAGAGTTATTTTTTTGTGTGAAGTGTCAGAGATAGGAGCATTCATGGTACAGTAATGATTTGGTTAATTTGACATTTTTTCTTTGGTTGGGATGTTACATCAGTCATGGTAAGATAGCTAAATAGTAAGCCATAAAATGTTTGACTGAACAAACTACAGTAATCTGACATGTCTCCAGATTAATGTAGA